CTTCGGCCAGTCCTTGCAGTGCAACTTTCAAAAATTTAGTGGGAGGTCGGGTTCTGCCAGCCCACACCGCTTCTGCTATCGCTATCGCGCCCCACCAAGATATCCTCACCGCCTGACGCTAATCCCAATGGAGGAGCCCCGCCATGGGTAACTTTGCCCCGCGACAGCTGACATAAGAAAGAAAAAGTCGATGGGTAAAAAAAAAAAAAAAGGCGTGCTGGAACCGGTGGATCACAGACGCTCAGTGCTGCCGCGATGGCGCTGCCGCAGCGTCAGAGGGGCCCCTTCCGGTGGACAGAAATGCCCGTCTCGGTGTTTTTGGCCGCTGGAAAGATGCCGCAGCTCAAATAGCGGGCTGGTCAAAGGCGGATTACCAAGGTTGTCGTTGCCGACTCGGAACTTCAACGATCCTTTCAGAGTCATACCTCACTCAACTTCAACTCGTAATCTCAACTAGACTCTTGAATACAATAACTTTCTCTTCACTATTAATCTTGGACCACATTAAAAGACCATAACCATAGATCGAACACATAAAACATTCATCTCTTCAGGTATACATTCACAACTCATTTCAAAGGGATAACCGCTTACCCTGTCTACCAGACTTAACCATGTCGTACACGGCCCCTCCACAACGCTTCACCTTTGATGGCTTCCTCTTCGACATGGACGGCACCATCATCGACTCAACAGAGGCCGTCGTGAAGCACTGGCACACGTAAGGAAACCAACGAACTCCACCGGTTCATCAGCATCATCATCACCAATCATCCCTTGCATGAGGGGTTACCCTCTCTCTCTCTCATCTCATCTCTCAAAAACCCCACTAACACCGGCCTTCTCTTCTCCCTTGCAGCGTCGGCAACGAAATAGGAGTTGCGCCCGAAGTCATCCTCGAGACCTCGCACGGCCGTCGTAGCATCGACATCTTGAAGATTCTGGCCCCTGAAAAAGCAAATTGGGAGTGTGAGTACCTTACCTCTACACACCAAAAAAAAAAATCTCAGATCTCTGTTTTGTCTGATCTCGCGTGTTTGGTACCTGTTCCTGATTCCGATTTCCCCCTTGCCTTGCTTCACCTACCTAAACACGACTCACCGGCGCGCCGTCTGTCAGGTTTCCCCAACTTTTTTTCATGCATGCTCACCTACATGACGCAAGGGGGGGATGAGACGGTGATGAACTCAGGGGTTCGCGAAGAAAAGGCTAACAGGAGATGAACAGACACGCGTGAGATGGAAGGCCGCCTCCCGAAACTCTACGGGGGAGACGCCGTCGAGATCCCTGGGGCAAGGGCACTCCTCGACGCCCTCATCGCGAAGTCGGCTCCCTGGGCCATCGTCACCTCGGGGACTGAACCCCTTGTGGGCGGGTGGCTCGACGCGCTCAAGCTGCCGCAGCCTCAACACCTCGTCACCGCCGAGTCCGTCGAGAACGGTAAGCCGGACCCGACCTGCTACCGCATTGGCCGCGCGAAGCTGGGCCTGGGAGACGCTTCCAAGCAGGTGCTCGTCCTCGAGGATAGCCCCGCCGGCATCAGGGCCGGTAAGGAGGCTGGGTGTAAGGTGCTGGGCCTCGTCACGAGCCACACCGTTGAGCAGGTCGTGGACGCGGAACCCGATTGGATCGTCAGAGACCTCGATTCTGTCAAGGTCGTGGAGAGTCGCGACGGTGTCGTCACGCTGGAGTTTACCGACGCCCTCGTTTCGAAGCCTTAGTGTAGTTGTCTACGACTGACTGACTACTCTGGCGTGAGGAATGGAGGCTCTGCTAATGAATCGATAGAGCAAGAATAGACTTGGCCTGTACAGACTTTAGTATGACAACATCGTACGCTTTTTACCGTTCCCTTGGCCCTTGGAGCCAAATAAGTCCTCGGAGCTCCATACAAGGGAGTAGAGGAGACAGAGGATGAACGGCAAAACCTATCAACCGGCCAGTGCGCGAGAAAGGGCAAATACAAACTAATCTTCTTTCCCCGCCGTTGTCTCATCAAGGGAGCACTTGTTGGATTCAGATGCGAGATAGTTCTCGAAATGGAGTCCTCTTTCCCCCAAGCCTGAAGATCCCTAATAAGCTGTGTCGCGTGAGATCCGTGATGTTTATTTTGATCCGGGGCAGCAGCTCCAGTGCAACAACAAAACAAACATCATCATCCCTCTACCTTCACCGAAGGGGGGCGTGTGCCGAACCGAGTAGAGGTACCCCGAAGGACCCAAGACAATGTCTTTAGCCTTGGAGACAAAGTCCCGCCGTATGCCGTGTACTCGACATGTGCAACCCCAGGATCCAAGAATATCCTCCTTCAGCCGAGTCAGGCGAGTCCCTGACTTCAACTCGTCTGGCTGCCGCTGCATTGATTTCGCCTACAAACGCGGGAGTGTTGAAGGGGCTTTCACAAAGTAGCTTGCGTCGACGATGATCCAGCTCAAGGTACAGGAAAAATCAAGCACACATTTGCAACACATCATCGTCTCGCCTCGTCATTGTCCCATGTTCCTCGGGGCCCTACCCCCCAACTACGGGTGATTGCTGCGATCTCGCGACCTTGGAAGCGGGAGAAAGAAAAAAGCAACGTTAAGAAGTCTCAGCCCGGTCGATGCACCGCATCTGGATAGGCAAAAAGCAACCCGCAAAAGCCCGCGGTCGTTTCACGAAGAAGGAGCCCGTATACGAGAGAGTCTGAGAGAGCGAGCTTGCCGAGCGCATCCGGTACACTGGTCTCTCGTTGACCTATCTTAGTCTTTGCAGAGCTGAGCGGAGCGGTCCCGAGACCGTGGATGTGGCGTAATTTTGCATAACGAACAAACCCGCTGCGGTCTGAGGTATCACAATGGCAAACTACACCGGTCTATGACCACCTTTCGTAATTCGGAGCTGCAAGGTCCCGAAAGCACAAATATCACCTGTCAGCTTCGGAGCTTCATGCTGACGGACCTGGCTGCTTGCAGGGTGTGTGTGTGTGTGTCTGTGTAGGTATGTGTGTACGCTCTGCTCTCTCAGGGCACCAACTTTAGACAAGCTTGCGAGGCGAATTAAAATTCGGCATCTTGCAGACAACTTCGGAGATCTTCGTGCTTGAGCCGTGGGTGTGTCGCTCCAAGTAGTGAACATGTGTATCCCGTTGAGTGGAACAAGGTCGTCTATCAATACTCCTCGGGACGTAAGACTTGGTGAAAAGGGGTAACACAGCAGCGGAAGGATTCCTCCCTCCTCCTGACACAGCACAGTTGTAAGTGTCGATGCCTTGTTTGCTCATGGGCAAAGCAAGATTATCGGTGGCTGCAGGTACGATCAGCTACAGAAATAATCTGGCGGATGATGCCGAGACAGCTGTACACTCACTGTCTAGGCGAGGCAATGGCGACGAGTGTGTTTTCGCCGGTACAGGAACCCAGGCGGGGTTTGTTTGCTGACAGCGCAGCCATCCACCAAGAAAAAAAAGCAGGCGTCCGACGATGTCATTCCGACATGTAACACAACGGACGCCAGCTTTTCGTATGGGCGAATGCAGGAACATTAAAGGCTAAGCCAACATAGGCTTCGCGCGCGAAAATGTCAATCTCAAAACCATCAGGTAGAGGGCTGATGTGGACAGCCTCCAGGCTTAGTATGATGTTAACTTTCGAACGGTCTTTGATGCTGCAGGTACACGAAGGGCCGGGTCGGTTGAGCTACATCTCCATATCGTTGAGGCGGCGCGCTAGCAGAACACCGGAAGGGATGACAGCAATCTCATTTTGAGCATAGTTGTCACCACGAGACAATTCATGAGGAGATTGGAACACGGAATACATCTCATGCCTCCCTGGGTAACGAGTCCTTTGACGGTGACAGCTCCGAATGGCGTTGGAGCGCTCGAGTAGTGTAAGCTGGCGAGCGAAGGCCGCCGACCCGACGCAGGTCATCGGGCCGGCAGGCAAAACCGCGCGGCTGTCAAAGGAAAGGAAAAAAAAGGGGGGGGGGGGGGGCTTCTGGTGTATGCTTCCCGGCGACGGCTTCTGTTTTCGCGCGTTTAGCATCCGGCATCCACCTGTCTCCAGAGCTTCAGAGAAAGGTTCCAAGGCTTCCAACACGATAGACGTCGTCCGGCAGTATCCGCATTGTTTGCACCGGTTCGGTACTCGGTAGCGGACTGAACAAGACTGACTCGAGGTGGCCATGTCGTGAGGCTGTGCTCAGTTTAGCGAGCGAGAAGGAAATTGTGTCGTCGCAGAGATGGGGTACTGTCCGTACAAGTAAAATGTGTGGAAACTAAAGCACGCACCAGCCCAGTCGAATGCAAGTGTTGTCTGCGTCGCACGCGTCCTCCACGGGTCCCTTTACTACGGCCGTGACGAGGACCCTTGGTCGAGTTTAATGAGAAGCATGGGCCTGCGGCTTGTGCGCATAACGAAGGGGGAAAAAATCCGGCATACTGTCCCCGTGCCCCCATCATCCCATGCCTGGTTGTGAACTTGTGAAGGAACAAAAACGAGCCCTCGCAGACTCCTTGTCCTTGGCCCCCTCCACAGCGCAGGGGCAGGGCCGGCACCTCATCCATCTCGTCAGTCGTCACTGTCGGCACCGCACGTGGCCGCCAGGGCCCGATTTTGATCCCAATCTCCCGCTTGCCGCTGTTTCCACCTTGGACGTTGGAGCAGAAAAAAAAGTTGATCAGGATCTGGATCATGGATGCCACTATACATCTGTTGATTAACCAAGCCACTCTCTGCCTCGTATATCGTCATTGCATTTTAATAAACTCGAGTACTCGCAGCCACCAAAAAAATCGATTCTTGGGGGTTTCCTGCGGCGATGTTACCGCAAGAGGTCGTCTGTAATCACATCTCTCTTCCAGTGCCCGCTGTCCGGAGTCAAGGTTGGAGGGATACCGAACCCCTTTCTTGTGCATATCATGAAAGGGAAGAGAAAAAAAAAGGCTTCATCTCCCGTGTGCATGTTGGAGCCATGCATGGCCATGACTCCTCTAGTCGTTGTGGAAGTCTTCCTGCACGCTATCTCTGTCGCTTGGCATTTTGTGTGTTGCGTGGGTGTTCCGTGGTGTTTGCTGGCGTCACGCCTTCGACACTGGCGTGAACCGCCGGCGTCTTCGATACTAGACTAGGCAATTGCGTCCTCTCTCGTTTCCCGTGTTCCAGAAGGTAGCTTTCCATGCCGGCTCGGTAGCATATGGTGGGCATCTGTCGTCCAAATTTCCTGCGTTGGACGATTGGAAGCTTGAGCGATGGCGAGCCGATTGATCGTACTCCGCAAGTTAGTCGCTCTCCGCGAACACCTTGAACTTCATCCACGGCGTCGGGTTCTTCGTCCTTGCAAGGAGACACTAAAATAGAAGTGGTTACACTCGGAACTCATCCAGTCCACATGGTACTCCGTATGTCTTCCTTGCCGAATATCATCTCCGGGGGAGGGTTCGTCAAATCGTCAGAGTGGAACGACGGGTAGATGTCTGACGAGCAGATTACATCGACATCTCGAGGCGCAGCCTGATCCAGTATGGCGTTTGAGAGCCGCCGGGAGAAGTACCTACTTCGGCAAACCATCAACAAGTTCCAACAGGGGAGGAAGAAAGAGGTTTACCGATAAAGTACGTATATTGCACAGAGCTTACATAGTATGCTGAGAAAGAGACTTGTGCAACAGGCGTCGGTGAAAAAACGGTGAGATGATCAATCCGGCATCGTAATACAATACCCTCGCTTCGCCGCTCATCGGCCTGTCGTTGTCTGTTCGAGCTCCTCTGGCCGGTGATACTGATCCGGTCCATCTTCGCTTGGCAATTCGACGTGAAGACATTGGCATCAGCAAGTCTTTCCGAGCCATCGAACAAGGATTGGATTTTCAGATCGCTCTAGCCATAGCGCAACGTCAGGAGAGCACTGCTTCGCAGTACTCCGTAGAGGCTAGAGTTACTCGTCAAACGCCGACGTGATGCGTGATAAGCGTGTTGTAGCAAAGACTAAGACTGACAGTCGTAGGCCGCCCAATCGGCACGGACAAAGGTGCCAAGTATCTGGGACGAAGTGAGACAACGTCTTCTTTCCGCTTTGCTAGCTTTACAAGCGTTCCGCTCTCCAGGAAACGCCATATACCGTTCGGCGCCGTTGTCCTCATGTCCCGCCTTGCCCCGAAGACCGCTGAAAAGCGGCGTGTCTGATGAATTCGCGCAACGTCGTAGACTGACCTTGCCCTTTGCCCAAAGGGTGACATGTCGACGAATCGTTCTGGGCCCCCAGCCCTTCGCAGGGCCATGCATCGCTTGGTACTGAAGGCGAATCAATCGAATCGACCCTGCTGAAAAGGCTTTGTTGAGGACATGAAATTCCGCCTCCAATCGCTGCACCTGCGTTGCCTTGCTTTCTGTCGTCCACTGCCGCCAATCGCATCTCGTGAATGCCAGCCTCCGCCCTCCAACGGGACTCAGGTGCAGGTTTGGCTAGACATCAAGGACAGCCAACGATGTCTTGGAGCTAGGTAGTACTCCGTAGAGGGTCCACCTTAAAGAATCGCGAAGCGGCTTCAGTGGTGAGGTTACAACGCCCACGGATGAGCGATGGTCCGGAGACGCCCCCACACCACAGTCTAGCTAGGTGTGCTGCCGCGTGTATGTTCTGGCCATGTGTCGCAGTGCATCCCGTCTTCCGCACTTCACTGTGTGCACGATCTAGGCCCAGTGAGACCGAGATCGCGGAAGAAGTTCTTGATGAGAGTGTGGCCTGGAACGTCCAAGTTGTCAAGCATGACAAGGCGAATTGTGTGACTTTTGGTCTTTGCTGTCTGCTGGCTTGGCACGGTTGGCGGCCCGAATGAATCCAATTCGCCCGCATCGAATCTGTGCATGATTTGACGGGGGTGCGGACCAGCTGAATCGTATCCAACTATCTTCCGTTTGACTTGTAATGACTGCCTCGGTCCCAAACTTTGGTAATGTAGGCGTCGTATGCAGTTTTCCTGTGAAAAGACACGGTAAAGAGTGAAGGCGACGATGACTTGGTGATTGCTATAGACGAGTTCCAGAGATCGACAGAAAGAGGCGCCGCGCCTCTCCGGGGAACTTTACTCCCGGACAGTGTCAAACTGTATCGAGCAAGAGATGAACGCCCAATCAGCCATCCAAGATTCCTAGCTGATCGCCATACACGACATCATGGCGAACATGTCCCGGGATAGTGAGCCAAGATAGTTGGGCAGCGTAGGCTGAAGTGGGCGAAAGGTGGGCTGAAGCCCGATCACACTTGACAATCTGCGCAATGACGGCGACATTTCCAGTGTAGCTGATGTTCGTGGCCTCGTTTCCTGACATGACGATGTGAGAAGATGCTGCGTTGTGATGTGCGCGTACTGCATAACTGATCTCCAGGACGATTGTTTCTAGGCAAGGGGGTCCTATAACATGCACATCTTAAGAAAATCCCACGAACGAGGCCTGTGGCGGGCCCAGGTTTGCGCGCCTCGTTTTACTTAGCACTGTCACCCAGTGGAAAGCGGCCAACCGCACGTCTGCGCTCTAGTACTTGGTCTGGGATGCCTGGGATCAGCCGCTTTTTGGATAGATGCTTGGAAAGCGCGATGTGACTTCAGATTGCGCCGTCTGGGCTGTCAGTGAAGGAAATCGTAGTATCTCGGTCAGGCTAAATATCCATGCTCGGTATTGGAATTCATGGTAACGGAGGTTTCCGAAGGCAACTCCTGGATCAAGTCCACATTGCTTTCGAGTGACCACGAAGCTTGGTGAGTGACCTTAACATCGTTGTACACATTTGTGTGTCCCCAGCACACAAATTCCGTGAGCATCGCAGACTTCTCTTTCCCATATTACGAGTCCAGTTTCAGGAATAGCAGCTCGCGTGTCTTTGTTGTTTGCACCCCTGCAGCGGTACTGTGGCGGTGTCGGCTCAAGTGATGACCCATCCATTGCTGTCGAGCAATCTAGAAAAAGGGTCGCTGCCCAGAACGTGGATATGTCCCCAGTGTCCGGTTTGAGAACCGAACCGAACCACCAATTGTCAAGGGACCATGACTTTTCGATGAGAATTGAAACCCGGCTAGCTTCAGACCAAAGGCGCGGAAATCTTCGAGGGAAAACTTCCCGTAGCGTAAAGACGCTACATCTGAATGTGGAATGAAAGCCGTTGCCCGCTCCCCCGGCCTCGCTGGCTGGCCCTTCGATCTCACGGCCTTGTCCGGGCTACTGCTGGCTGAGGATCGACGGCGAGGGACCCCCATGGCGATTGCTTCAACTGTGCACAAGAGACGCCATGTACGTTCCCCAAGGCTTGGTAGGTTATGTGACTGTGTAGTTGAAAGTCTTTGTGCCATTCCTAGATGTATATTTGTCCTCTGCTGCAACGGCGCCGTGATGGAACCACACCTGACCATGCATGCTCCTGTTCGCCTCGTACGGCCGAGAGTATCAATTTTTTTTTTTTTTGAACAAGCCAGCAGCCCAAGTATTCTGTAGGTAAAAATCATGCGAAGGAGGAGCTGAAGCTGCAAGTCTACATCCGTTGGCTAATTTCTCAGCCCGTGTCGCTCTCTGACCAGCGCAAGGACATGGGTCAATCGGTCGTTGTGATTCTGACGACAGACGGCAGATATAGAAGAGCGTCCAATGTGTGCATCCGGCGGTACGCCTAGTTCGCGGGGAAGAAGAAAAGTGTTCCGCTGCAGGTCAAGACAAGTCAGATACAGTGTGATAAGTAAGTATTCGTACAACGGGCTCCGACCACAATCCGCGAGCAGTACTCCGTACATACTCCGTACATGGTCCGTACCTCGTAGGAGGCAACAAGGCCAGGTTGGGTTAACGCCGAAAACGCGGTACACCGCACGACGATTTCCCTCCATGTTACTCCGTAGTTGATGGGCCGATGTCTCCTTGACCCGTAAGAATACAGCATGGGTGCATGGATGTCAGTTCTACAGACCGCGGAGCGTCCTTGCCCTGTCTTTCGGAGTTCTGATGGGCCCACCCACAAATGCAGTCGCAGCAGTCCAGTTCTCGAGAGAAACGACGGGTTGTGGCAGGCAGTACGAAAGCCGAACAAGTGATGATTGTGTATCCATAACCAGCATAGGTATTATAAGCTATGTACGGATACCGCACACAGATCTGACGTGGAAAACTATGTGTGCCTGCCGGTGACAGTTGCTTAGGCCAGAGGGCGACATCAGTACATCGCGTCTCCTTTGTTGTGCAGCAGCGGTACACCAGTGACTACCAGTTGAAAATCAACAGCGTTGAGAGTGAGTTGTCTCTCCTCCTTTGGATCTCGGCCAAAAAAGGAATAGGCTTGCGGCTCGCCCATTGTCAACTTGTCAAGGTTCGGCGACCTGGCGAACCAACGCGTTGCCGAGTGAGACGAGCGGAAAACGGGTGGGGAGCCCATTGTACTAGCCTGCGGGAGCAGCGGCTGGTACCTGGAGTAAGGGAACCGGCGTCTGCCCTGGGCGTCTTCGGCCACATGTCTGGGCTGTTTGATGTCCTGTAAGGATGAAGACGGTGACGCCTGGTGGTGATGAAGTTGCCCCTTTGGTACTGGTAGTTTTCCGGCAGCGGAGGAGGTGGTGATCCTCGCAGGCAGGCCAACCCAAAGTAACTGTCAGCGTTCCTCTTTTCGAGGTTGACGATGCGGCAGCTGCAGTGGCTGCCCAAGACTTGCATCGCAGCGTTGCGTTTTGGGAGTCGCTGAGCAGAATCGGGAAAGCGTGGGACAGCGAGGCACCCCACCATCCTGTCAGTTGATCACAGCGAGCGACGTGCTGCAAGACTGCAAAAGCCTCCAATCCCCGGTAAGCCCAAGAGGGAAGAAAAAAAAACCGACGCGATTTTGGCGTCGTTGAGCTGCGTTAGCGCGGCCGGGCTCAAGGGGCAGGCGACAGCAAAACGACAGGGGCCGCTTGCACCCACGAATCGCAGCGGCCTATTCCGGCAGTCTGACCGGGGCAGATGTCGGAAAGGGTCAGTAAAGAGGAGGGCCCCAAAGCAACTCGTCCCAATTCATCGCCGTCTCTGCTCTCCTTTTGTCCAGGCCCGGCCTTGGAGCAGCAAAAGGCAGACAAAAGCGACAGTCGGTCTGCGCAGCGGCGGGCCTCAGAGGCCGGGAATGGTCGCAATGGTTGCTCCATTTGTCGCGTGGCAGCATGGGCAGTCATGTATCCTCACAGCAAGCAGGCTGCTGAGAGCAAGCAAGAGAGAGGCACGACTGACGATGACTGCCGTCTGCTCTGACGATTGCGCAGGAGGCACCCTCCAGGCGCCCCGGGTGAGATATGCACCAGCGGTGCTCAGGTTCGGACGGATGTGATTAAATGGGCTCGGATTGGACAGGATGGGCTGGCAGGCTGGCCAAACTAGGTTGGGACGGCAAAAGATGATTGCTCAGTTGGCCAGATATGGTTGGTGAATTCTGATCCGGTGTCGTGGTTTTGCTTTGGTGCTTTGGGTGCCGTCGTAACGCGGGCGGGAAGTGGACGGCTGTGTGGACGCGGACTGAGGTCGCAGTGGCGCACCGGGCATGTGTTGTTGTGACATGGCTCTAGTCAGTACCGTTCCTGGCGATCGGTGGTAGCCCGTCCATGTCGACCTTGGACCAAGATGTCGACAATGTTGGCGGCTGGCACCCGACTGAGACCTGCGATTGTCCTGCACGCTGCCTGACAAGTGTGTTTGTACTCTGCATATCCAAGGCAGATGGGGATTTGCAATAACCCGAGACAGAGAGCGACGTAGTTATCCACTATCGCAGGCTTTCAGAGCAAAACCGCAAACCAAGCGCGAGCTCGTGGGGGAGGCCAAGGATAGGTAGAGCCGGATACCGCAAAGCCGCCATTTGCGGCGTAGAAGAAGAAAGTAGGCTGTCGATCCGTGTGGATAGAGGGGGGCAGCGGCTGTGGCAGCAAGGATTGAGTGGTGGTGAGGCTGCTCGGATTGCTGAATAGGCAGTCCGTCTGTAGGTCGTGAGAGGGCTAAGAAGCCGACTTGGGTGGTTCATTTTGCAGAAATGACGATGGCAAAGTGACGTGACGGCCCAAGCTCAAGAGGAACGAGGTGGACCGGGACGGGCTACCAAACTCGAACGCATGAAGTTGTCATCGAAACTCGAGGGAGCAAAGAACTGTCAAAGAGCGCTATCATGGCGTGTGTCCGTAGTGTAAAGGTGTAGGTATCCCGTAGTCTGCATCTTGGGCTGGCATCCCATCTGTTCAGAAAGGTGCAGGGTTGGTGGTTCTTGAAGTGCCGTGCTGCGGGTTGTGGTGTAAGCACCTTCTGAAGCTGAAAGGCGACTGCAAGGTATCCGTATCCGAAGGGGAAAAGGTAGGTGTTAGCCCGCAACTTCCATTCCTTTCAGACTGTCGATTTCCATGTTGGGACTGCGAAATGCAGCGGAAAAGCCAGTCACGGCAAGTGTACCTTGATAAGTTCAACCTGCCACACTTTCTTCAGTGGGGCCGCAACTTTGCGGCAAATGCACCTGAACCTTGCCGTCGACGTTTCTCTGGAAGGGATTCCCTTTCTCTAGACTCCCAGCTGGCACTTTGTGGTGTTGCACAGGCTTCCGGGGAGCTCAGCACGAGATGCGTCGACGAGTCCGTGTGTCTTTTTCTGCTTCCGTGGCTCGGGCAAGGTAGGCCGCCGGCACAGCTGAGCTGAACCGGAACCAAACAAATCCAACAAGACGAGGCCATAGCAGGCGCGTATTCTCGTGTCATGTCGTATGGGATGATGATGGATCTCGATCTTGTGGGTTATTGATGGATCCTATGCGTCCCTTGATGTAAGTCTCCTCTCTCCCTCAGTTTTGTTTCCCCCTTGGAATCGGAGCGAGGCTAGGATGGAAGAGAGTGAAGCCCTCGCCTTGTCGATAGGTTACTGTAGGAAATGTCGTTGACAGTTGGGGGGAAGTGATCGTAGACAGCCCGCACAGTCTTGAGCACTGTCTCTCGACCGGGTACAGCGGATAGTGTGTGCAATTAGACAGTCGCTATGTCTCTTCCCGTTGGTCTCTCGTCTTGTTTATCCAAATGGTCCGTGTGATGCTTGGTCGCGTCAATCAATGCCATACTGTCTAGCCTGTCGGTGGAGATGGGCGCAGGGACAGGCAGAGTGAGATGCAGTACAAGTAGACCAAGGGGGACGAAGGTGGGGGAGGAAACCTCAAGTGGAGTGGAGGTACCTTGTCTACATACGTACTCTGTGCTCCATGAGCTCCATGTGCTCCATACGGATACCTCCTTGCCCTGAAGACAAACCACATGACTTGGGCTTCCAACCTGATGTTCTGACATTGAATTACCTAAGGC